GTATTTTAAGTTTAGTAAGTTAAGTATTGGTGAAGGTAGTCAAATCAGTTGGCTCTCTTTTATCGTGGTGGTACAGTATAAGCCCTTGAGCCAGATCTGAATGACCAGCCAATGTGGCGCTTGACCTAGATTTCAGATTCAAACTCTTTCTGACCACAGCGATGTGTCAGTGAGCTCCTTCAACATTCATTCATTTTTTTCAGCTTAGTCCCCTTATGAATCAGGGGTCGCCACAGCGAAATGAACCGCCCCTCAATAAACACCTAATTTAATCTAAAAATCTGTTGTTTGACAATATTTGATGCATCTACATTGTAATGACTCACTTAAACTAAATATTATTTTAAACATTATTATCATCTACCCCTGAGCATTTGTGCTACATCAATAAAGCTCTACCTCACAGTCTGTAGCAAACCATGCAGCTTGTTTTTCAAAGAGTGCGCTTACATTCCTGTAAATGAGCACAGAAACCATAACAACAGCATTGAGATCCTCTAGCAACCATCCATTGGAGTGCATTGGAATGCCTTAGCAAAAGCAAACAAACAGCACACATCTCCCTGCTATTATTTAAACTGCATGTATAATGTCATTAATGCCAAACAACATGAGTGAAAAAATTACACCAATGATGGAAACCCTTACAACGCACCCAACCTGTTGCTCTGTATTGATTCTGATTGACTCCGTCTTCATTACTGTATCATTGTTTGTAATTAAGCATGTCACATTTCCACGCTGTCCGTTTGAATGCCATGCGATGTTTTGTGTGCGTTAGAATGACAGATCTCCATCAGTGCATGTTGTGCTATAAATAGCGTGCGGCGCGGAGCATAATGAGGTTTAGTCAGAGTGTTTAAATGGAAATCTGTGTGTGTGTGTCGTTCCCTTCAGGGTCTGTTGAGTGTGTGGGCAGAAAGCAGACCATGCCACAATGCGCTGTGATGTCTGCGTCTTTACGTATGCGCACATCATTTCTTTTTTTCTCTCTCATTTCCCAGAGGAGGAGAGCAGGATTGGCTGAATGTGTTCAGGTCTTTATTGTGGAATTCGGCAGAGGCTTTGTATGTAATCAGTGTGACACGAGACTGGTCAATAGGATTATTTTCGCCTTATATTTAATATAGCATTTGTTTTTCCTAAATAGCAGGATGTAGGCAATTAACTGACGTCTAATAGACTCAACAAGGCACAGATTCCATACCCCTCATAGATAGATTCTCTTTAAATGATTATTTTACGTAGGATGCTTTACAAAAATGTATTGTTTCGTTTATGAGTGTGGGTGTGTGTGTGTGTGTGTATATATATATATATATATATATATATATATATATATATATATATATATATATATAT